TTACATCTCGTTGAACTTTTCAATTTTTACATCCAGTGACGAAAACCAAAACCAATCGATATCAATCATGTGATGCAAACAAGACGGTTGAACTCTACGAGTTATCAACATCCTACCTCAGTATATTGGTTCACATCCTATACAACGGGAGGCTACCAGTTGGTTACCATGGCAATGGTTTGGATGATTTGTTAGAAGCTGCAGAAAAGCTGGGACTACAAGCTGCAGTAGATGTATTAAAGGCACACTGTAGCCAAAATGATATGGCTGTATAGTAGTGCAATCGTGAAGCGATCTGTGTTGTCGACATCAGTTTAATATTGTCCATGTACATAGGCTTGAGGCTCCAACATATTTGCATACAACTTTGCAACATATTACATTTGCTGTATTACAAAACAACATGAAAACAGTGTGCAGACCAAATCACATTAATATGTAATTTTTCAGTCACTGTGAGAGCTAGCGTATTGCATGAAAGGTGAGGAGAGATTTAAACTCCCTAGCCAAGTTATAAACTCCCTCGTTTAAATGTAGACAATCTAACTGAGATGTCAACAGACCAATCAAGTTGTAAACTTGAGTTGCGATTCTTTAATTGAGATGTAAACACTCCCTAGCTGGGTTGTGGGAATTGAGTTGTGCTCACACATGCCAAGAAATGGAAGGCCGGGACGTTTTGTAAATATATGGCTGGAATAAACCTATGTTCAGTTATATGTCGCAGTGACTTACATTTACTGGTAAACTTATTCATCTGCCATTGAACTACAGATAAAGGGCATTGTTTTAACTCTGAAATCTTATAGCAGAACTCAGGAACGAGACAAGCCCTCTGACTCTGAGATGAACTAATCTGGTCTTTTGTGTTTTTCAACAGAAGGCTAAAATTAACTCCAAGTTGAACCCCATGTTTTGCTACACGTGTAAACATAACATTTTAAATTATGTCCTTAATGTACAAAAAATCAAAATGTCATCAAACACTTCTTTGTTAATTCTCTAGATCTTTGATCAGTTTTGTTGAGGCTAAAAGATGATATGGCTGACTGGCGGCCACTTTTTATGAAAAATGGGCCTAAATATGACTGACTGGTGGCCATTTAAATTTTTTGATTGTGTCCAATCAAGTTTAATTTTAAATATTTCAACTTATTTATTCTATCCAAGGATAAATATAATGATTATGAGTGAAACCTTACCTTTAAGCATTAAATCATATGATTTAAATAACACTGACAGGGAGTATGTTATTTACAGAGACTTGTCTTCAAGAGGTTTTAACGTCATTATTCAAACATTGTGTTCACAAGATTTTGAAGTCACTAATTTTATAGTGAAACCACAAGCTGTATAATGTTTTAAAATTTAGTTTATGGTTTTAATTTAGTAAATTTTAGCGAAGACAATTGATCTTTGAATATAATAATTACAATCACAGTTTGGTCAACATTTATTTTCAACTCTGTGCTGTATTGATGCAAGAATGTACCTGATCTCTTAAGATTATTCACAGGTTCGCTTTCATACATGCTGGATGCATAGATTGATGCTCAGAATGATATAAGCCTCAAGCTCCTAATGGATGATATAATGCTTATTTGCATGAAATTCAACTGTGGTGCTTTGTCAGTAAACCCGTTGTCAACTTTTGTCAACATTCACAAAATAAACAAGCATACATTTTTTAGCTCCGCTGTCGACTTTGTCGAGCGAAGCTTTATCATATGAGTGATTGCCCGCCGGCGTCCGGCGGCGTCCGTGTCAATGTATTACTTTTTCGACTTCTTCTTGAAAACTACAAGCCTGAATGCTTTGATACTTGGTGTATATGTACCTTGGGTAGACCTCTCTCAGATTTGTTCATTTCATGATGATATCTTCAATTCTCTTTGGTGAATATTTTTGTCATTTTTAGTAAAAAGTGATATTTTCAACTTCTTGTTAAAAACCGCAAGTCCAATTGCTTTGATATTACATGTATAGGTACTACAGGTGGACCTCTCTCAGATTTGTTCATTTTGTAATGATATCTTTAATTCTCTAATTTTGGTGAATATTTTTGTCATTTTTGGTAAAAAGTGATATTTTCGACTTCTTGTTAAAAACCGCAAGTCCAATTGCTTTGATATTACATATATAGGTACTACATGTGGACCTCTCTCAGATTTGTTCATTTTGTAATGATATCTTTAATTATCCAATTTTGGTGAATATTTTTATCATTTTTGGTAAAAAGTGATATTTTCGACTTCTTGTTGAAAACCGCAAGTCCAATTGCTTTGATATTACATGTATAGGTACTACATGTGGACCTCTCTCAGATTTGTTCATTTTGTAATGATATCTTTAATTCTCTATTTTTGGTGAATATTTTTGTCATTTTTGGTAAAAAGTTATATTTTCGACTTCTTGTGGAAAACCGCAAGTCCCAATTGCTTTGATATATTATACATATAGGTACTACATGTGGACCTCTCTCAGATTTGTTCATTTTCTAATGATATCTTTCGTTCTTTAATTGCAATGTGCATTGCTAACAGCGGAGCTGCTTGTTTAAATTCTTTTTTCTTATCTCTAATTAATTTAATGTAGTGTTTTTTGGTTTTATGATAGTTCTGTCTAGCAAAATGATTGTTTGGATTTTTTGATAAAGATTTAGAAATATTGATTAGATCTCGTTTAACTTCACAACACGTCTTATCAAACCACTGCTGTTTAGGTCTTTTTGACTTTCTTGTTTTCTTTGTTATTTTTTTTAAACAATTTTCAGCTGTATTAATTAATATATTTTTTTAATTGTTCAGTTGCTGAGTTAATATCTATATTATTCTCACTGTAATTCAAAAAATTCAATAGTTGTGATTTAGTACTTTGGTTTTGTAACTGTTTCTGATATTTATCTTTTGAGTCCTCATTCCAGATGTATTTTGGAGGAAGAGGAGTAAGTTTGTCGTTTTTTTGCTTATTTTTTACATGATTTACTAATAATGAAAAGCTGACAGGGCAATGATCTGACAAATAACTGACCTCATTTACTTTAAAACATTCTATTTGTTTATGGCATTCTACTGAGCTCATACAATAATCTACCGTACTTGAACTCATTTGGTGATGGTAAGTATAGTTGCCAATTAAATCACCTATTGTTCTACCATTATTAATTATTATATTATTATTTAAGCACATCTCAATTAATTGTTTTCCAAATTTGTTAGAACCTTTATCTTGTGTGTGTCTATTTTTGAACTGATCTGGTGTATAATTATCTGGCAATGGTATATGAGAGTTATCATCGAATGAAACATAATCTACTAGGTTTCCTGTACGGCTATTGAAATCCCCCATAATTATCACCTCCCCCTGTTGGGAGAATCTTGTAATTTCTTTATCTAGTATGTCAAAGTAATCATGATCCAAATGGTATACAGAGTTTTCAGGAGGAATATAAATACATCCCAAATAAATATCAAATTGCAGGAAAAAAAACTCTTTGTGTAGCTTACACCATAAGAAATCATTAATTTCAGAATTAATTTATTTTATTTTCAAAACTTATTTTAGTGTACATTGGAGTCAACAACCCATGTGCGTTTGACATCATTTATACATATGTATGTGAACTTATATCCATAAAATCAAACGGCAGTTGCACATTGCACGAGGTCATGCAGCGATGCCACTGCTTTGGCAAATTATTGTGATCAGCTGCTCTATTTTGTGAGTGAACATTTCACATATTGGAGGTAGTACTGGATGAAGAAATTCAAGTACTGGTATATCATTTAGATTTTATTGTGACTGATTTCAAATGAGAACAGTTGGTTTTATCAATATTTATAAGAGTTTGTTGACTCTGGTGTAACATATAAATCGTAACAATTACTGTAAAATGACTAATTTTCACTGGGTTTAAATTTCACTGATTTACCATTTCAGGCATATTCAGTGGGTTTTAAATTCACGGTTTCGTCATTTAGATAATGTGTTCTATGCTAAATTTTACATATTCACTGTGTTTTAATTTAGCGCATTTTTCCAGTCAGCGAAATAAGCTAAATTAAAACCCAGTGAATAATTACCCCCTTTACAGTAAGTCAGTAAATACTATTATTCATTGAGATGTTTATAACATCCCATGGTATTTGCATAAATATGAATGAGTAATTTTTATGAGAATGATTTTAGTGGAGTGGTATATACATTCCAGGATAGGAAAACACAAGACAGGGTTCGTTGTTCAGTATGATAAAGCTTTTTCAATGTTTGGAACATTGCAGCATGTGTTTTATTCATAATATAACAATAAAATAATTGATTAATTAACGTATGGGTGTCTTTTTATTCAAAATCCGGAAGTAGAACGACTTTTGGTAACCATTCTTTGATTCTACATGTTGACAACTTTTGCAGAAAACCCATTTCTTACTTATAGTACATCTGTGCATGTAATCACAGACCTCAGGAAAAAAAAAGATAATATTAATGAAGCTTACGAAAAATGGTCTACGATGCAAGATCGTTAAAAATTTGCCAAGATTAGCAACGAGCGCCCTCTATCGGCTGGTAGTATCGTCGGATATACCGCCCTCACAACTGAAACTCTTGCCAATCAAGTAACTGACTGAGATCGGCATAAATTATAATATACCAATATTATAACAATATTAAGATAAAAAATTACATGATACTGAAACGAGCGAAATTGTCTAAAAATGTAAAATCTGTATTAGAAGCCGCATCCCTAATAGAAGTCGCACCCATTCTTTTTGAATATTTGAGAACCAAAAATTCATCATTTCTCATATGTGTAGATGCACTAATAGAAGCCGCATCCCTATGTTGCATTGTACCATTTTAATAGAAGCCGCGGTTTCTAATACAGATTTTACAGTACTAGTGAGAATATCCATATTTAGCTTACTTGCCAAAATTATATTAGAAACTAATATTACTTTCATTAAAATGTTTGTTTTACCAAATAACTCATTGTTACGTCCATCTTTTCTGAACATAACAGATAACAATCTGAGGTTTTTATGACACCTACAGTCATAACAATAGAATAACACGAGCGCCAAAGAATATACCACCGGAAACTCCCGGGCTGAAGAAATACAAAAACAATCCGCCACAAACTGGTTTACTTAAATTTGACCCTTCAGCTTGCTAGTCGTGTGCGCCTCAACTTAAACTACCACGCTCCTTTTGTGGTCTGAAAATCAAAATACGATACTTTAATTCTTTTAAAGTACGTTTATTCAAAATCGAAAAC